AATAAATACAAACAACAATAAAAAGAAAATCGGCTATCAAAGAAGACTGTTTCGTATTTACGTGAATAGGAATATAAATAAAGAAGATAAATTAATTTTAAAAAAAACATATAATTATACATAAATAGATACAAAAACTTATATCATACAATTATACTAAACGGCAAAAAATATCCTACATAAAAAATATAAAAACATTTCATATTCATATAAATTTTTGAATTCCCGGAACAGAAAGGGCACGCCGTGTTTGTTACCTAGCAAAATAAATTTGATGAAAAATAAAATTAATGAAAATAATGGCTAAGTAATTCTCTTCAACGGATAGTCAAATTTTTTTGACAAGTTAATTACACGAAAATACGGTTTTAATAAACACAGCCTATAACGACTTATACTATGTATATGAATTGTTACTATGGAAAAATACATTTTTCCATTACATTTTGTTTGCAATTAAACAATACATTAAGTCTACTAGAAATATTAAGTGCTTGTTAAAAAAAAATCTGCGGCCCAATGCGAATTAAATTAGAATAGATATTAAATCGATTAACGTTCATCTTATAATTCATATGGAATCTCTCTGGATTTACTCCTCGGCGGGACTTTGGTTCGTACTGTGATGACGCCGTATGTTCCATAGGAAATGGATTGTTGATGTAATCCCGTCATCTTTCTACTGTCGTGGCCACTGGAGCAGATTATTTACTGCCTATGAACTCGCTTATCCACATTACATATCGACGTATGTTTTGGCACATATGTCTGCCCACGGCTATGGTATGAGTTTCTATACGGCGAGTCTTGAACGACATGACATATCCTTGTGTTCTTTTCGAAAGAGACTTAAAAAGATTCCTTAGCAATAGGCAACTCCGCTGTTGACTTCTACAGCCATAACTGACAATTCTCCATTTGTATGCTTGTTTTCAAGGGCAATAGTGAAAATAAGAAAACAGAAGATTGAGTTACTTAGATTCTAAAGACGCACTCTTGGGTTAACATCGAAGATCTTCGAGCTGTTGGACAATATTACGACAGCTGGTTCCGGGGTCCCTTTTAGTAGAACTATAGAAGATTAGGGTTTCCACACTTCTATCATAACTACTGGATCGCCTCTGAGTTCAATTTTACACAATTACTTTCAGCTTTTTTTGTGTTAAAGAAGTTTCTTCATTTCACTTACCGGGGTTTGTATAGAACCTTGATATAAACGTATTTTCATAACACATTGCGAAGAGAAAAAAATAAATATTGGTTCCGTTTATGAGGTTTAGAATATATTTTACATTCTAAATTGAAATTTTCCATGACGATCATATAACAAGAAAAACAGGTTTGATATTTTAAGCACATAAAAATACTGGTTTTTAAATAATTTATTTAGTTTGTCTTACTTTTAGATTTATTACTAAATTTAGAACAAAATGACTAATATAAGTTTATTTTTACTATATTAATGTGACACATTCGGATACTTTGCGCTACTCAGATACTTAAAATTTGTTATGTTTTGTTGTACATTTTTCTAGCTTTTATATGTAGACTTTTCTAGTTTATTCGATTAAAACAGAAAATTGGTGGAAGAAAACCCATATTTGAAATAATCCCTAATTAATATAATTCCATTTACCTTAAAATGTAATAATTTGAATCGGAATTTTTCATTTATGATATTATCAGCTCAGGTTTTGCTTTGTTTACTTTAAGCTACAAAGATGAAATCTGGTAGATAATGGAACAGTCACAGAGTAAAGTTCACAGAGTATTTTAATGAACAGAGAAATAGATGAAATAATCAATAAAAGTTCAGAACTGACAACCTAACAATTATTAATCGAGCTGACATAGTTATTGTTAACAACGTGTTTTTTTCACCATTCACTCCAATATTTGTATTTCATTGATGATTAATGAAATTATTAAATAGAATTTCTATGATTTATTGGACGGAAATCAGGAAAAACGAAATAGTATCTGCGCCGAAATGTTGAAATTATGTTTTGATATTCGAGAATTTTCTTTTGGTTTACACTACAAAAATACGTAGCGTAGGTTATGTTTGTTAATAAGAAAGATCATTGTAGCTGGAAGTGGAACATGAAATGCATAATAACAAGAAATCCGAAGCGTGTGTTATGAACACAATGTTCTTGAAATATATTTAACAATTTCGTGTAAGGAAAACAGATCTTGAAACTAGCAGCATAAGATTGGATATCCATAGTTTTCATTGTGCCTCTCAACATATGCTTACAGCAATGTAGGAGCCAATTTTGAGGAAAAGATTTCAATTTACAATCTAATGTGTGATCTAAAAAATGTTTTACAAAGTTTGTACACCAAAAAACGTATCAAGTTTTTTTTCCTGAAAAACCAATCCAATATTGTACGCTAGATATTTCAGTGCTCTCTTTATTCTATTAAATGGAAGGAAGAAAAACAAAAACATTTAAACGCCGCCCAGTTAAAAGAAAAATAAGAAAAAAGATTCTCAAACTAACAACATCCAGCATGCCATCGCTGATCGCACGTTAGACAATTACATGATTTTTAGAACGAAACTTAAAACCTAATTTATTCTCGAAAATGTAAATAACCGAAAAAAGACATGATGTATCAGAGATGTCACAATATTAATTGGTGTAAAAATGGGTAGGAATGCATAGGATAACAATATGCAGGGGTTTGCATGGGTGTCAGCAAACTGCAAGGCAGTCAATGTAGCGGGCGAGATTCGAGAAGAATGCAATTGATGAGAGAACATTGCTACTACCAGAGGTGGTCAGAGTCGCACATTCGTACCCTGGATTAATAGTTGGATAGACGTATTTTCGCTGGCTAGGGCGGCTGAGCGAGCGAGGAATTTCTTTCTTTACATACACCCACCACATCCTCAAAGCGTACAGGTGAGACGACGGATGGAACTCTGGAAAAAAAGAGAACGGGACTGCTGGAGTCAGACCTCGCAGAGAAGAACGTGACAAAAAAAAAGCAGCGTAGCTTCCTCCCGCGATTGCTTTCCAAGAAGTGCACCCACTAAACCTCAATTAACCAATACCAGTGGAAGTGGAGAGTCATCCCAGAATCCGTGTCGCCGATCCCACTAGCACAGTGTCTCGGTAGCCGCAAGCTTGGCTTAAGTGTAAAAGAAACTAGTTTTCCTAATGGCTTAATTTCCTTATATTAATTTCACATTCCCGATACCAGAAATAATTCCCAGTTCCCAAAGCCCACACGAGTTGGTGCAATAATCTAACCTATTTGAAAGAATAGAAGCTGCTATGGATTTTTGTTTGATTAGTGGCAAAGCACTTACGTAGAATAATTAATTGAGGTACCTACTCTAAAACACGTTTTTCAATTTTGTGCTGTAAATATTATATCTGCCTTATTTACATAGCTAAGAAGCGTTTTGTTCCTATTTGCCTTTTGAATTTTTGCGGCTACTGGTTTTTTTTTTTGACGTCCTTGCGGTCTATAGCTCACAGCCCACCTGGTTTTAAGTGTTTATTGGAGCCCATAGATATCTGCGACGTAAATGCGCCACCCATCTTGAGATATAAGTTCTAAGGTCTCAAGTATAGTTACTTAACGGCTTCCCCACCCTTCAAATATATCCAAAACGTACGTACCTATCCGATATTCTTACATTTAAGTTACAACATGTCATATATACGCTGCGCATGATGAAACATGCTGTACGAGAATTATTTGGGACATTAAAACGCTATTCCGTATCTTGATAGGATTTCAAAGTCAGGAGTATTAAGGGGAGATATTGGTCGTATTGCACAGCTTTGTATCATTATGCGGTGTCATTATGACTCGTAACACACAAACGGCTAGCTCATTCATGACACTTGACGCAGTTATTGTGAACAGGTAAGAAGCTAACTTCTTTGCTAGGGTTACTGAACGGTCGGTTAGTTCTTTTGTCGTCTATTTTATGTAAATATGAGAACGGTCAATTCGTTCCTTGTCTCGAATATATTAAGTGTATAATCTATGGTTCCTTGTCATCTGGTTCGTGTTAGTCTTTTAGGAAGTCAAAAAAAGTACTGCCTGCCGCTAGTCACGTAACGCCTCGTTCTATTTCTCTCTTTATTTTTGAATTCTTGTCAAGCGTCTGTCTTAGTCTGTGTCTAGTCGTTGTAGGTCTTATGTCCTGTCAAAGAGGTTGCACGCCACGACAGTTACCGAGAAGTAAGAGGTAAATATGATTAAAAGGTGTAGGTACTATCATTTGAAACAATTTTAATAACATGTTATAGTGTTTTATATCATTTATGCAGATAACATCATTTTAAGAGTAATAAAAAAACGTAAAAGGTGGCGCAACTATTTCCAAACACTTGTTTTTTTCCTTTTTATCGAAGTTTCATTACATTGACCCTATTTAATACTGACCGTATATTTTATATTAGATATAATGATATGGAATTCTTCAGAATGCATAAACAATAAAAGACTTACCTAATTGCGTTTTCTGTTATATAATAAGAAAACAATATGTAAATTTAAAGCCCTTAATCTCTTTTAAAATTAATATTTTAAACAGTATTAATATAACATACCAAACTCAACTACTCTATTCACTGAATAACAAAAAAGTGAGTGATTCCGTCTAAGAAAAACCTTTTTTTTAAACTGATGAGTTTTAAAGGCTTGAATTGATAAAGGTTTTTCTTTACACACATTTTGCTCTAAATATAACTAAGTAAATTGTACAGGTGCTCAATATCTATATATATAAAAATGAATTGCTGTTCGTTAGTCTCGCAAAAACTCGAGAACGGCTGGACCGATTTGGCTAATTTTGGTCTTGAATTATTAGTAGGAGTCCAGAGAAGGTTTAAAAGGTAGATAAATATCAAAATTCCTTTTGTTTCTTTTAAGTTTATTTTGTACAAAAGCTTAGGTATTTTATTTATCGATTGAGCCACTACGAAGTCTGCCGGTTCAGCCGGTTTATAATATTTCTCAAATTTAATCTATCAATTTAATTCGAACGATGTGTGGACCTGCCCTGTGAGTTCACGCACATTTTTTTTCATCTTCCACATACTTTGATTTCGTATCAGAATCTCGGCATCGTCAAACGTTTGAGGCATCTCGACTTTAGCAGTTTCCGGTAATGCAAAACAAAGAACCGCCGTTAATATTGATGTGCATCCTACAACGAACATTGGAAACCACAACCTGAAAACTGCCAAGTGCGGTATAAATGGTGATATCACAGTAGCGACATATCCACATATGTGTATTATGGATGTGCCTGACCCTCGGATAGGAGCAGGCAAAATCTCGGCCGACCATTGCATACAAGTGCTCAATGACATATTTACTACGAATCTTGCGACGACTGCACACATTACCGACGGCCATCCATGACCGACAAAAGGTAAGATGAAACTAAATATTCCGCATAAAAACATCGCAAGTATTGTTAGTTTCTTTCGTCCTATAAAATCTAAGACAAACGACAATAAGAGAATCGAAGGGAATTCCGTGAAGGAGACAATCGTGAATGACACGAAAAAGTTGAATTTGAGATCACTGATTGTTCTTATCAAGGAGTCGTACACGACATAACAGCAAAAATACACGAGGCTCATGCAAATAAACACCCTTCGTAGCAATGGTCTCTTCATCATATCTATCATTGTACTTTTTTCTTTATTCTCGCTACACTTCGAAATTGATAGCTTAAATTCTTCGATGAGTTTCCTTGACACAGTCTTCTTGTTGATTTTTCCTATTGACATCACTTGATTCACAGCATCATCAGTTCGACCTCTCGCTAGTAACCAACGAGGACTTTCCGGCAGAACTAATGGGGAAAATAATGTTAAACCAAAAAGGCAACTTGTTACAATCGACGTTATCTTCCAGTCTCCACAAAGCAAAGCTATCCACGGCAAGATGCACACACCTGCCGTGAAGAAAATGCTAAAAGCCAAATTCGCCATTATGGTCCTATATTTTGGAGCAACGTACTCGAGTACGAGTAAATAAGTCATCATCATACAATTGTCGTATGACATTCCCATCAGAAAACGACATAGCGTGAACGTAGTGAAACCTTTAGTAAAAGCGCTTCCAATACCTGCCAAGCACCCAATCAGGTTACTGGCCATAGCAGCTGGTAGTCTTCCAAATCGATCAGCTATCCAACCAATGATCAAACCACCCAATATTGAACCCACAAAGAAAACAGACTGCGCCGTTGCTTGATGAGTATCCTGTTCGCAGACCCATCCCAAATCACTAGTAATTGTCGCATAAGGAATTTCGGTATTATTGAATTCCCATCCATTTTGGCAGCTTTGAATCGGCCATGATCGGTTAGCTTTTTGACTATATATCAACACTTCACTCCAGTTCGCGGCATACGATGAACATCTAGAATGTTCAAATCGACTATTAACATCAACCGGTATCGCAAGCTGCTTTCGTTCTAGTGCTGTTAAATTTTCTAGCTCAGGTATCCAACACCAGTGGTCCGAGGATGCTTCCGTTAGGAACAGCTGCGAGAAATAACTGAACGCACCACATATGTAGAAAGGTCCCGAGAGAAAAAACAAATACACTTGATATAACCCGAATTCGCCGGCGGAGAACAACAGTTGGTCGTAATCAACATTCTTATTTGAGTCGCATTCGTTAATAACTTTCTGATCAATATTGGGATCATCTTTTTTGGAATTCTCGGACATGTCTTCACCAATAATTACTTAAATAATTACAACGAATATTTTGTTTATCACTAACGTCTCAGTGTCTTCTAGCCGATTTCGTGACTGACTACATTTTTAATCATAAGGTCGACTAGACAAAGAACCGGTTGAAAACATGAATACATTCGCCACGGCGCGGCGGTACGAGCTCCATATTGTTTGTAGTGCTGTTTGTCAATTTCTTACACAGTGTGTCATCCTAAAAACAAAATCACGTGAGAGACACTCACTGTTGTTCAACAATATGATTTTTTCCATTAGGTATTACTTATTTTCTTCTTCGTACTCTAAATAGTCGTAATATATAGTCTCTAGATAGTCGTGAGCAGAGTATAATTACTAACAAACAAACTGACATTCAGCTCGTCCGTTTTCAATGGTGAAAAGAAAGCCCACATTACCCAATTATTATAAAAATAAAATTAATTAATGTCAACGCTCACACCAATTACTCGCCTCAAAAACTCATACGTAAGTATTATAAACGATTTATTCTAAAAAGAATTCAGCCAGCTAGATGTAAACGAGACTTAATTCGCTTTTATTAAATTAATATGACTTATTATTATAATATTATTATTGAATGTTTTAAAAAAAAAAAGTGCGTAACAACTGCAATTTTAGTGAGTGATGTATGTTTTTTTTTAATTAATAATGAACATGATTACATCTGTTTACTATTTTTTCATTAATCTCTTAACAAATTTCACAAAAATCAGTTAAGAGCTCATTGTCTATGTTACTCGTTACGTTTATTCTATTCTATTTTAACGTTATCACAGAACACTGAATTTATCCGACATGCTATAATTAGAAATAAATTATTCATAGACTTGTTTTTTAATCAAACAATAGACTTCTGCTACGGTAAACGAAAAACTTGTTTTGATAATGAAGCAAAGTTAAGATCTCCGATGGGCTTCGTAATAAAATTATGAAGGCTTTGTTAACTTTTGCACCACAGATATTTGCGGCAAACGATACACTTTCGACTAGTCAATTTTTTAATCTCTTATAACACGCCTACTTTAGTATATCACAGATATATTATGTCTTTGTTAATTTGATTTTTCGAGTTGCGGAAAAGTGTTAGAGAAATACTTATCGCATCTTTATAATCAGATACATTTTTTTAGCATACATGGGTGGACGAGCTCCCAGACAAGCTCACCTGGTGTTAAATGATTACCGGAGCCCATAGACATCTACAACGTAAATGCGCCACCCACCTTGAGATTTGAGTTCTAAGGTCTCAGTATAGTTACAACGGCTGTCCCACTCTTCAAACCGAAACGCATTACTGCTTCACGGCAAAAATAGCAGGGCGGTGGTGCCTGGGTGTGCGGACTCACAAGAGGTCCTACCACCAGTAAAGACAGTAAATAAGTGATCATGACCACTCGCCGAAAGCCCATCTAGATTAAAAAATTAAGAACTAAAAAAACCACATGTGCTTATGTAGATTGTAGAATTATAACTTAAGTAATACTTACCATGGTTTTAATTTAAATGATGAGATCATCATCATAGTATATTGCTACTGGTAGGGCACACTTAAACCCGCACGGGTAAGTACCACTATCTTGCCTATAGCTGCCGCGAAGCAATCGTACAATACAATTGAAAATTCGGCAATATCATTGTGATATCTACTAGAGCATCTATTTGTCTCCAGATGTCTATGCGAAAAAAAAAAGGAGTTACAGTTGATTGCTTACTCGCATTGACGGGGTCCGAATGACGACACTACTAACTGTACAATATCTTACTTTGATATAGAATCTACTGATATTTTTTAATACTACGAACAGCGGAAGGGTGAGGACACATTGCGAGGCCAAACACTGATTTCTTGGTTTGCTGTTATCTTAAACACAGGCGCCTTGTCTATTTCTAACGCAATAATGTGTTCCTATTTAACGTGTTGTATCTACGTGAGACTCATGAATCGGTATTCACGAAAGCTGGTCTGCCCATCTTTAGTGACAAAAATAATTAACTAAATTAGAAGTTTTCTTTTTTTTTACGGCTAGCAATTTCAAATACACAGTGGATAATGAATTAATTTCATTAACAACCACAATTTACGATCTCAGGAACGTATTTCTTTTAAAATTTAAGATTTATTTTCTTTTTGTTTTTGTTTAAGTAAAAACTTTTTGTAAAAACTACTATACGATTTGTTTTGCTTAGAACCAGCCATCGAACAGTGATGAAAAAACACAACATTTATGATCTAATTCTCTTTTAGTTTCACCTTTATCTCTATATATTATTACGTGAAAGAAAAACCTTGTGGCTCTTTTTACGAAAATTGCGCGGACGGAGGAGTATAAAGTTTCCCACACGTATAGAGAATATAGAGAAGGAGTGCAGAATGTTAATATTTTTTTTAAATTATGCATTAAAAATACATTAAATCAATATTACATACACTACCATATATTTGACACACACATATTATACTCTTTGTTTATTGTCAAACTTGTTATTGTTTAAAGTCTGTAGTCAAATTGAGAATAGGTTAATATTGCTTATCTAAGTATTTGTCTATATTGTAGCCTTGGCGAAATCTGTGACTATAGAAGTATCATAGTCTTTGACAATAGAACCATAACAATGCTCAAACTTAGTATAATTTCAATTAATTATAGTCGAATTTCGACTACAGCGGGACCACTAGTTTCAATTAAGAGAAGATAATCAACTTTTTTTCTAATTCGATATCCAATACCGCGATTCGAACAACAAATCGAAAAGCTAATAACAAAACAACAAAAAAAATCACTCACCAAAATTGAAATACTCGGAACGAACTTTGCATGAAGAACGAATAATTTTGTGCGATTTTTTTTTGTTTTTGTGTTTTTGTTCTTTTGTTTTTCTCGTAAACCTAAAACACGAATGTGCGGTATACGGGCGCTGTTTTGGTCATCGGTTTACGAATGAAACGTTTCAACGCCTCGCTATTTGCAGGCATGCGTGCTACGAGCGAAACCAGTGGTTCGGGAATCGCACTTCTAGGGGACGAGATCGTGAAATCTCATAGGTATTGGAACTGATTCGATGGAATTAAAATAAAAATAAAAATAACTTTCTTTATTTTTTCGTTATTATTCAAAATGGTTTTTTTTATTGCTTAGATGGATCGAAGAGCTCACAGCCCACCTGGTGTTAAGTGGTTACTGGAGCCCAAGGTCTGAAGTTTAGTTACAACGGCTGCCCCACCCTTCAAACCGAAACGCATTACTGCTTCATGGCAGAAATAGTAGGGCGGTGGTGCCTGGGTGTGCGGACTCACAAGAGGTCCTACCATCAGTACAAAGTTATTTCAAACTTTCTTTTATTATATTTCAAACTGTAACTAGTATGTAACGCCAATACGGGCGATAGCTTGGCCGTATTGGTATATTTAATCGTTTTCCTGATCACAAACAAGAAGAACACAAAAAGAAATTCTTCTAGACTCAATTGAGGGCCACCATTTTTTATTTTGCCGCCAAATGGCTCGTGTTTTGATTTACAATGCGAATCTGATCAGCCGTCAGCCCAATCTAGGCTAGAAGTTGTATTTAAGCTGTTTTATTTAAACTCTGAATGCCAATTATTAACGCTGAGCCAGTTGTAAGCTCAATCGCCCCACTTTAATCTTTTAACCTATTTTGATCAGAAAAATTGATCTCTTGATTTATGATATGATTTTATTACACTTATTATCACCGGAACACTAGCGCAGCTTATATTAATTACTATTGTAACGCGATAACGCTGCGCTGTGACGATTAGTAATTGTATGAAAAAAGTTCATTTCTTAAAAGGATTGGCACGCCACCTATCGCACGGCTATGATGCCATAATTGAAACCGAGTTCCAAACGAGTCCAAGGTCCGAGTGAAAATAAATCTGTAGTAAATACGTTTACGGTTTAATCTATAGTTTATCATTTTCATTTCATTGACTATGTTTACAATTCGTTTTTGGAACGAAGTTCCTTATGGGACGATGCGGAGGGGTACCCCAACCGGGACAAAACGTCCGTAACGTAAGATTTTTATTAGCAGTGCACACAGTGTACGACTTAACTTTGTAATAACTTGTTTTTTTTTTCCTTTCCCTCCCTATGCTGATAGCCTCGAGAGGCTATTTCAGCTGCGCCTTAACGTGTAGGTGAGCTCACGGGGCTCAAACCGGGAGTGTCGCTAACACTGGTCCTAGCAAGGACAATGCTTCGCAGAATCTACTACCGGATCGGAAACGCGACCCACTGAGAAGATCCGGCGAGAGACTCAGTGGGCTGTGTCTACGGGTCAATTCGTGATAACCGAAGAAAGTACCTAGTATAATAACTTTGTAAATTTCCATCACAACCGAACAAATGATTTAGAAGGTCATAGAAAACAACACATAAGCATAAATTTGTTTTTATTTTATTTATATAGATTAAGTTGTAATAAAAGCATATTACAGTGTGCATTTGATTAATCGTTGCTTATCAGTTAATTGACAAGCGATCAGCGATAAGTGTTATAATGTACTCGTAAATGATGTGACAATAAATACATTGTAATAACCATCGCTCGACATTGCGTTTCGTAACAATTACCATTAATCGATTGATTGCTTAAACAGCAACCAAAGCGCTTACGTATTGGTGGACCGCTTTTTCTCACAGGGCTCAAGCCGGAGTGATGCTAACACTGAAAACTGCAAGAGTAGTGCTTCGCAGAATCTACTACCGGATCGGAAACGCGACCCACTGAGAAGATTCGGCGAGAACCTCAGTGGGCTGTGTCTATGGGTTAATTCGCTCGTCGAGCCCTTCGTCGCAAGCGACGGATTCGACGAGGACGGTGACCGGTGCTTGTGGTATCTAAAAGCACTGTAATGGATCGGGAGGATCCGTAATAACGTGTTTTGGGCGACATCGACTGTTTACCATTCGGTCTACAGGATCGGGTATGTTGGTGGACCGCGATTCTGAGGAGATTCTGATTATATGGCCTAATTTGAAAAATATATTTATATTTCCTAGGAAGGCAGCTAAACTCTCGTAATGGTGAGTGTGTTGCAGACATGCTTTAGCCCTCGGGTAGGATGTGAAGCAGAGTTTGTTCCATACACGGATGCTACAAGCCAAAAATGATCTATGTAAACGCGCTGGGGATAAATTCAGAAGGCAATCTGTCAATAGTGATGAACTCTGCTCAGAAGACAAATCGGTAAGTCAAGTAAAACTCGTGCAAGAATTGAAGCCACACGATCACATAAACGAAAGCATTTTCATAAGCGAATTTTGGTTTGCGATAAAGGTCACTTTTGTTTGAATTTATACGTAAACAACAAAACTGCCGTAATTGAAGCGATGATAATCCTCAGGTTTATTTTTTATTTATTTTTATTGCTTAGTTTGGTGGACGATCTCACGGCCCACCTGGTGTTAAGTGGTTACCGGAGCCGATAGACTTCTAGAACTAATCTTTTTATTTTTTTTATTGCCTTTGTAGGCAGACGAGCATGCGGCCCACCTGATGGTGAGTGGTTACCGTCGCCCATGGACTTCAGCAATGCCAGGGGCAGAGCCAAGCCGCTGCCTACCGCTTAATACTCTCCACAAGCCTCGTTTGAAGAAGGACATGTCATAGCGCTCGGGAAACACCGTGGAGTGGAGCTCATTCCATAGCCGGATGGTACGTGGCAAAAAAGATCTCTGGAAACGAACTGTGGATGACCCCAGTGGCTCCAGGTAGTATCGATGAACTCTACTCCGGTGGCGGGCGGTGCGATGATAAAAACGAGACGTTGGTATCATCTTGAACAATTCCTCAGAGCACTCCCCATGGAACATGCGGTATAAAATACAGAGGGAACCGAAGTCCCTTCGCAGACCCAGAGGCTCCAAACGATCCGTGAGAATGGGATTATCGACAATCCGAACGGCCAGATATAATTAACATATGTATATATTTAATCCAGAAAAACTGACTGTTTGATGTGCTTTATGGGCTGGTGGAATCATTGGTCAGTACTTTTATAAAAAACCATGCTGGTCAGAGCATTACAGTCAATGGTGACCGTTATAGAGCCATTATTATTGACTTTTTCGTTCATCAATTGAACAACCAATACATATTGTTGTTATCATACAATCAGAGTATTGTAATGTAAAATATTTTTTTGCGAAACTTAGAATCAACAAAACCTAACTTTCTTTATATTCGTACCCAAATTAGGTACTCTTTAGTTAAAAAATATTCTAGATTGTTCAAAAATAATTTTAGCTCACGCCATCTACACAAAAACCAGTAAGGTATTTGGACAGGATGTGTGCCTGGAACACACAAGACGTTCACTACACAAAACAAAGATGGCGCTTTGATAGAAATAAACATGGCACTATACAAATTAATATTTTCTTGAAATAAAGTAAATCAATTTCTGAATTTGATTAAATATTTCGGTACTTTACATTGAATATCAAGTTTAATTAAAAAAATATATTAATAAATTTATTTTGTATCCGACTAGTTTCAGCAGGTACTGGGATTGACCGACATGACTAAAGACAATGATTTCTGTAGGTATATTATTATATTAATAACAGAATAATAACCGGGTAGTGAAAATAAAACAATGCAGTTTGTTAATATAATATTAACTCTATATTGGATTAAAATAAAAATAATGATTGGATTGATAGATCACTAAAAATTGGCTTTCTTGTTTAACTAAATCAGAGCGGTATAAATGGCCACAAAGAAAACGCCAACACATATAACACTGCATAGAAAACTTAATAGCTAATATTACTAAATATGAAAATTCAGTGGAATTCCCCATTACGCTTTTAAGGGACTAAGAAGCTCAATCAAAGAAAAATATGTGAAAATTTCTAGCCAAATCGAAATAAAACACAATCAGTATGAAAGTGAACAAAATTATAACGCCGACAACCACATATTCTATCTTGCCGGTGCGAAAGAATGCTTCGAGATTCGAAATAATATTTGAATTATCGTTTCGTTCTTGGTGCCTGAAAAATATAAGAATTTTCTGTCAAATACATTGCGGTCTCTTACGACCGATTTTGCTTCAGTATATCCAGAGATATGACACACGCCGTCAGAGCAAACTTGAAGCAAACCATATCAATTATACTATACTATACTATACTATACTATACTATACTATACTATACTATACTATACTATACTATACTATACTATACTATACTATACTATACTATACTATACTATACTATACTATACTATACTATACTATACTATACTATACTATACTATACTATACTATACTATACTATATGTCGGCGCAAATAGGACTATTTACCTACTGATCATCAACTAATTACTCTGTGATAAGAAATTGATGTTAAACAGTCCCTTTTATTGTAATTTCAATACTTTAAAATCTTGTAAACACGCTCACGTGTTTAATACTTGTAAACACGCTGACGTGTACGAAGTCCTATAAATACGGCCGTGCTGTCTAGCGTTGATTCATTCGTGTCCGAGCCGTAGTACAGTACGGATCTCTCTGTAACGTTGTTATGCTTCTCGTGCAATATACGCAGTTCTCGTGAAGTTTTGTTTTGGAAGCCCAAATATGAGTCATCATCGAGAACTTAAAGACCGTGACGTCAACAATGCTGACGTCACACTTTTTAAAAACATTCCTTCAGCGTTTCTCCTCCGTCATATACTATACTATACTATACTATACTATACTATACTATACTATACTATACTATACTATACTATACTATACTATACTATACTATACTATACTATACTATACTATACTATACTATACTATACTATACTATACTATACTATACTATACTATACTATACTATACTATACTATACTATACTATACTATACTATACTATACTATAAATTTTATCAATAAAATTGTTATCAACTTCCCAGACGTAGCTCAAGCTTTTGACATAGTATGGCACGAAGGCCTTGTATTGAAGCTTAAATCATTATTACCTAAACATTTTGTGGATATTCTGGAATCATACAAATCTAACAGGGTATTTACAATTAGGCAAAATTATGCCTATTCAGAGCTTTACCCTTTAACTACCCTTTAACTCTGCCAATGCCGGTCCCAAGCCCGATTGAGATAGGAGAGCGTTAAGTTGGGGTTCGACCTTTCCACCGTAAAACAGTCAACGCCGAATATCTGGCGGCGGTTAATTAGCCGGACCCAAATAAGGCTTCAGCGGCCTTGAGGAACTAAGTCTCTTCCAAATGCACTACCGTGGAAGGACGCGGGACCCCACCATGTGTATTTTCCCAAGAAAGCCTCATGAGGCCACGACGCATCGAGGATTATCGACTCAAGGAAGAGAATTAATTAGCCTTATTGAGCTAGATTGTAATCCTAGCGTTGTGCCGCACCTAGGTTTTGGTACAATACATAAATAAATTTAAAAAAAGAATAGTCACAGCCTTCAGAGTATTAGAAATAAAGGAGTTTAGAATTATCAATATGAATACTGAAGCCTTATCTATTCCACGTCGTGTCTAACGTCAAGAAAATATAGATTGATACCTTGGTTGTTGTGGAGACAAAGACTCTTGCATGACGGACATCACAACGGCCGTTTCCAGTGGCGACAAATTCAATTCCATGTTTATAATGCCCTACGAGAAAGATTTTTGTTAAAAATTTGCGTACTAAAAATATTCTGTTATTCATTAAGGGGGAGGTTAAAAACGTAGAATTTTTCATATTCGTTACTGTGACGATAGCCATCATAGAACACAAAATATTTAACTGATACCTGATGCCTGAATCTCTCTTACGTCATTTTCAAGATAAGCTTGTATTTAAATATATTCCGAACAACAACATTCGGACCATCGGTCTACCGAGCAATATCACCCGCTCGGTGGAAGATCTCGCCTTCGTCTTTATTTCCACATTAGCGCTTAGCCTTTTTTAAAGTAGATTAGAACAATAGGACTTAAAAAAATACGAACGCTCAGAATCGAGAACTGCCACGAAGTTGATTTAGAATACGCCATATACTAGGAATAGCTTAGTGTTTATTTATTTAATAGACGGCTAGACTATCTCACGGCTCATCAGATTTGAAGTGGCTATCGGAGCCCATAGATATGACGAGTCTTATGCCACCAGCCACATTGGAATATGTGAAGTATCGCATCTATAACGATTTTTCATATCTGTTTCTCGGCAGAAATTGGCAGGATCTTGTAGTGTTGTTTATATGCTACACTTGAAAACGTCAGTTAAGTTATGAAGTAATAGATTTAGAATAAATAGATTCCGTTTTGGTGAGCTTAAACTGAATAAAACAAGAATAAATCTCGAAAATAGAAATACCACCGTAATAGGAAGCGATTTTGACTACCGCCGTATTAGGAGCTTTTACCTTATAATCGTGCGATCTAACAATTCATCTTAACTCTAGTAAATACAATAATCGTGTCTATATAAAGCTGTAGACAGCTAGACAGAAGCAACCGAACCTGAAAGCGTTCGTCACAATGCACGTTCGATCGAAACTCAATTAGCAAGAGAAACCTTTTTGACGCTTGTTGCTTACTGTATAATTGAATGATTTGGCTATCAAAACATTTAAATGTTGCATGGATCACAGAATGGATATAATGACCTTCAAAAGTAATATCTATTAAATATATATCATGTATTAGGTTTATTTATAAAAAAATTATGATTAATATTTATATATTATATAAAAAAGATATAACGTATATCTTTCGTTTAATTTACCAAGCAATCCATCTGCTACATTATTTACTGCATAATCTTTGGTTGATTAGTTGAGAATGCTTTAAATTAATTTGCATGAAGCTTAATAAATATATTATGAATTTATTAAGTTGAAGTTATTTGCTAAGTGAATTTATTAACATATTCCTGTGCATACTGTATAAGCTATTATAATAATATGTATGTATGTAAGTTTATGTATATATGTATTTGTATGGGAGAAAGATTTTAAAGATGTAGTTAAAAATCGTAACATTTTTATATCCGTTACTTACGCTTATGTATGGTATGTATATATTTTTGTGTTTTGTGTATTTGTAATTTAATATAAATTTCATGGCACCTACTACTATTTACTCTGCACTGCCTTTGGTTGACTGGTAGAGAACGCCTCAGGCTTTGAGTCCGCCTATGTGAATTTTAACTTGAAGTGTAATCAATCAATATATAATACGTAATATTATTTAATGTCTATAAAATTGGCGGCTAAAAAACTTACGGCATTTGTTCCGGTTTGGGGAGTCTCATCAGTGGGCGTCAAACGCCACCAGCCTCTAACAGATCTTGATGAAAATAGATGTACCCTTCTGGATCCTTCCGAAGCTTTATTAAGTGACTGAGCTGATAATGCTCCTTGTGGCATATTATTCAAATTTAATGACAACGAAGCTGATGATATAATATAAAACTGATTAACATAAAATCACAACGCTATGAGAATTAGTATGATTACAATTATACATAGTAATAATAAGTAATCAGTGACAAATCGCCCACGATTAGTCCTCAAGCTAAGTTTTCCTGTAATAATAATAATAATAATAATTTATTTATTACCTTGAAAACATTTACACATAACAGTTTGCTAAAAACTCTCCACACTAGGCACTGCCTGTCTCGTGGAGAGCTTTTTACAGGAGTATCTTAAAACTAGTAATAACGGTGCTGAATATACGAGTAAATCAAAATAGTGAAGCGAATATTATACATACCTAGTCAGGTCATAAGTATTGTCACACAGTAAAAACTTTTCTTTTAGAATGCTGGCCACAAAAAAGTTTATTGAATTCGACATTCGAATTGTTCATGAAAATAAAAATGTATACTTTTAGAATTTTACTCATTTTTAAATATGGAGTGGACGCTTAAAGAAGACCGTGTTGCAGTTATTGCGTTGCATCGTTGCGGTTACGCGCCAATTCAAATTTTTAACATACTGAAAAAATTTAATATAACCAAAAGATTCGTTTATCGTACCATCAAACGATACAATGAAGACTCTAGTGTAGATGACAGGTCAAGAAGTGGTCGCCCTCGGTCTGTTAGGACTCCAGCAGTGATAAAAGCTGTGAAGGCGCGAATTCAAAGAAATCCCAAACGTAAGCAGAAACTGTTGGCCCTTCAGATGGGGTTAAGCAGAACCACGGTGAAAAGGGTGTTAAATGAAGACTTAGGGCTTCGGGCATATCGAAGAAAAACAGGACATCGTTTGAATGCTCGTCTAATGGACCTGAGACTGAAGAGATGCCGCGCTTTGTTGAAGCGGTACGCGGGAAAAAAATATCGGGAAATTCTTTTTTCGGATGAAAAAATTTTTACCGTAGAAGAGAGCTACAACAAACAAAATGATAAGGTGTACGCACACAGTAGTGAAGAAGCGAGCAACCGTATTCCGCGTGTCCAACGAGGTCATTTTCCATCCTCGCTCATGGTATGGTTGGGAGTTTCTTATTGGGGCTTAACAGAGGTACATTTTTGTGAGAAAGGTGTAAAAACGAATGCAGTTGTGTATCAAAATACAGTCCTGACGAACCTTGTGGAACCTGTTTCTCATACCATGTTCAATAACAGGCACTGGGTATTCCAACAAGATTCGGCGCCAGCTCATAGAGCGAAGAGCACACAAGACTGGCTGGCGGCGCGTGAAATCGACTTCATCCGGCACGAGGACTGGCCCTCCTCCAGTCCAGATTTGAATCCGTTAGATTACAAGATATGGCAACACTTGGAGGAAAAGGCGTGCTCAAAGCCTCATCCCAATTTGGAGTCACTCAAGACATCCTTGATTAAGGCAGCCGCCGATATTGACATGGACCTCGTTCGTGCTGCGATAGACGACTGGCCGCCCCGATTGAAGGCCTGTATTCAAAATCACGGAGGTCAATTTGAATAAACTTTAGTGTCATAAGAATCTATGTTTTGTTAAGTTCATTTTGGTATATGAATGGTTACATAATGAATAAACTTGTTTCAATTATTTTACATTAAACATGTGACAGAATTTATGACCTGACTAGGTATATATATATACATACACACACACTCACACAAATATATATACATACACATACACACAGATACACATATATATAAAAAGAAAAGGAACAGGTGTAATGATTTTTACCATAAGTACGTGTTTAGGGTTACTTAATGCATTTAATTTCCGCTAGCTAATTTATAAAGTACTATGAGTACTTTATAAATTAGCGATCCGACAGACGTTGTCCTGAATACACAAAATAAATGAAATGAATGAGTGCATATACAAAAATTCATTCAAATCGGTCCAGCCGTCTAGGAGGAGTTCAGTGATATACACACGTACAATAAAATGATTATATATAAAGATGACTTTATTTCTACCTGGTGTTCAATGTAACTTTAACTAGACTGTTTAGTTCGAAGCGATTTTCCTCCAAGTCCAGGTCGAGAGATGACATTTTCATTTATAATAAAAAAAATATTGCATAGGTGGGTGGACGAGCTGACAGTCCACCTGGTCTTAAGTGGTTACTGGATCCCATAGACATCTACAATGTAAATGCGCCCCCACCTTGAGATATAAGTTCGAAGGTCTCAGTATAGTTACAACGTCTGCCCCACACTTCAAGCCGAAACGCATTACTGCTTCACGGCAAAAATAGGAGGAGTGGTGGTACCTACCCGTGCGGACTCACAACAGATCCTACCACCAGTAAGTATCTAGTACAGTTAATATCTGTTTATTATTGGTCTGGAATACCTATACCTATCTGATCGCAGGGCGTTACTGTCATAATGGTCATGCACGTCGGCAATTCTATGGATACAACCAAACGGCTGCCTATCGCCTTGGACTCATTCAAATTAACCTCAATTAATCTCAAATACGCAATGAACCTCAAACAAACTATTCTCAATCAATTTTCGTTTGCAGAATATAATACACTTGTAAAGTAACTAAATAAAAATAACTAAAATGTATTTTATTTTAATATGAACCATATTGCAGTGATCCATCGTATTTTAGAGATCATACCTATTACGTTGTTTTCATTTTCAATGTCTTCTTCTAAGATACGAATTTCAAAAATGGGCAGTGAATATTCTTCGAACTCAGTAAACGGGTCTCTCTCTTTGTTAACCAACTGAAAACAAACTTGGTCGGAAAACTTCATTTTCGTCAAACTCGGTTCAGTTTTTCAGGCGTGAAATGTAAGAAAGCATACATAGTTACAATCGCAGTGATAAAATTATTAATCATAACACAAAAAAGGCATTGAAAAAAAAAGACAATTTTTCTTCTACAAATTAGTATCTGTCAATGTGTGAAAACAACATGAAAATTTGTTAAACTGTTCACGAACAAACAAACAAATAATTTTAAAAAAATAGTTGTTTATGTTCTATTATCTTTTAGTAACCCTATTTCTATCATTTTGATTTGGTGTGTCAATAATAAATAAATATGTTTATATTTACTAACAATCACGCCACGATAACGGAAATAAATGTAAGATTTTTATTAAACACATACATATATGTAATATACATTCATAACCCTGGAAAATACATTTTATATTTATCATACAAATATCTTCCCCTGACGGGATTCGAACCGGCGACCCCCATGTGTAGTGACCATGTCACTTACCACTACATCAGACGGCCGTTGAATGTACACAGACACACTTAATTATACTGCTTGTACGAGTATTGTCTGTATTCTATGCATCGATTGATATATAACGATAATATGATTTTCTTTATTTTACCTTGGCCAAAGACGGATGGTAATGAATTGGAAACATTATTTGCCAATTAAGATAGAACTCTGCATGGGAACTCTGTATGTCAACTTTTTCAGTTCGATTCGTATTCCCTATCCAACTAAAAGCAGTTAACGGTTTAGACTATTTTCTAATTTACAAATAATAAACGCCTACATCTAATAAAATATTCAAGAATGCTACATAAAAACTTTTTTTTTTATTGCTCAGATGGTTGAACGAGCTCACAGCCCACCTGGGGTTAAGTGGTTACTGGAGCCCATAGACATCTACAACGTAAATGCGCCACCCACCTTGAGATATAAGTTCTAAGATCTCAGTATAGTTACAACGGCTGCCCTACCCTTCCAACCGAAACGCATTACTGCTTCACGGCAGAAATAGGCACGGTGGTGGTACCTACCCGCGGGGACTCACAAGAGGTCCTAGCACCAGTGTAATATGGAAAGCTAACTAACAAAACTAACTAAAAAACTAACGAAAGCAGAGAGTTTACTATGTCAATTTTTTTTAAAGATTAAACTGTTTTAAATGACCGCATAATACTTTTTACTAATCACTTATTATCAAATATCGATTAGTATTAGAGGTAATATAGCAAAAGAAGCATTCGATTCACTAACCACTGAATCTGAATATTTTTAGGGACTTTAATTTTCTGGTCCTTGAAACGAAAAAGCTTAACTTGTCGGATAACAGCTTTCAGTGCATAATCTTCAACTTTCTGAGGTTCAATGTTGACCGGCGGGGGAATATACACACCGTTCTCCATAGGATAAATATCTACCCACATCTGAATCTTTCCCTAGACATTTAATTTTTTCAGAACTATAACATATTATCATATAAATATGTAGATAATTGATACACCGAGAGCTACTAATGAATTTAGTAAAGTAATCAAATAATATCTGGAAATTGTAACTATATATAGCACCTTTAGAATTGATCCAATATTTTTGTTTTTTGATAAACGCTAAAAATGTTACTGAACAATTGCAAATTTTCAGTTTCAATTTTAACATTTTAAGCCTTAAAGCGCATACCTTAAAGTTTAAAGTATGCGCTTGATTTAAACCGGGCCCGCGCCCGTCCGAAAAGTTCCCGCGCCGCCGCCGGTCATCCTGCGGGAAAAATCTTCTTGGGATCGCGTTTCCCTGGCCCTTAAGGCCAACAAGATAAATGTACTCCATGCGAGGAATATTCCGCATGGAATACAAATCAAAGTAGAGTCATCCGACGACCATAGGTCCTTGACAGCATACCTCCGCAAGGAACGCATAGGGTATCATACCTATGCGCTCCAGGAGGAGCGCGAACTCCGCGTCGTAGTACGCGGAGTCCCGAAAGAGCTCGACGTCGAGCAAATCAAAAATGACCTGGTAGGTCAGTCCTACCCCGTCATAAGCGTGCACCGGATGCACAGCGGGCGCGATAAATTCGCGTATGATATGGTGCTCGTAGCACTAGAAGCCACACCGGAGGGCAAGAAAATTGCCTCATGTCTCCGCACCGTGTGCGGCCTATCGGGGGTCACCGTAGAGGCCCCCTACAAACGCGGCACTCCCGGGCAGTGCCACCGTTGCCAATTATATGGCCACTCCGCGCGTAACTGCAACGCGCGACCGCGTTGCGTGAAATGTTTAGAAGATCACGCGACCACCGATTGCTCGCGCGTGAAAGAGACAGCGACGGAGCCGCCGAGCTGTGTACTCTGCCGCAAGCAGGGACACACGGCCAACTACCGTGGATGCCCCAAGGCTCCACGGAAGCGCCCGGCAAACGCGCCCCCTAAAACCGCTGGCCCAAAGACTTCGGCGCCCCGCGCGCCGAAACCGGCTTTCGTACCGGCTCCGGTGCCCACCGTCTCCGCGTGGGCGAAACCGTTGCCGTTCACGAAGGCAGGAACGACACCGGCACCCCAACCGCGGTACGCGCCGCAACCTCTACTCGCGCCGCGCCCCGCCCCCGCGCCCGCGCCCGGTCCCGCGCCTCGCCCCGGCCCCGCGCACTCAAACGATTTTACAATTATTCGCGACTACATCGCCGCGATAAACATCGACCGCATGCGTGCGTTCGCCGACGCCATGCGCAGAGCGGTCACGGCCGAAGACCGCCTAAACGCGACGTTCGAGTACATCGACGTCATCGAGTCCGTCCAGCGCACGCTGGTTTGATTACCGGTAATCAATGGCGTGCAACG